GCTTGGCGATCGCTGAAGGGCGTGTACCTGACAAAACGAACTTGCGCTCCTTCGTCGGTTTTTCTAGGGGTGCCTTTCCCGTAGCAGGGTTCCACTTGTTAGACTTAAACCTAGAGGGGCTCTCCTTTTGGGGGATGAACCATTTCTGGGTTCAAGTCGTACCCTGCATTTCTAGGGCTACCTGCCCCATTCATCCAGGGATCCGAATCTTTTCAGGAAACCATCCTAAAAACCAGGGGAAACAGCGATCGGTTTTTGAGAAAAGAACGATGGTTGAAAAGAATGGTTGGAATCAACCCCTAGAGTTTTGGCGGTTTGTCGCAAATTTCCCGGGACCAAACATAGGCGACCTTCTGGAAAAAATAGCTGGGGTTCGCTGGTAAATGGAATAAAACCACTCTATACCAGTGGAACCCCATCCATGTCGAGGCCAAAGCAACATAAAAAGGACACCTGAAGGGTCCCTCAACTTCACTTTTTTTGGGCCTCAAGTGGCAGTTTCAATGCAACCCGCCAGAAAATGTGCAACTTTTCTAGGGGTAACTTCCATTTCCATTCCTTCCAGGGATCCTTCTTTCTAGAAAACCACCAAAAACCCTGGGGAAATGGCTGCTTTTTAAAAAGACCGGTGGCTGAAAAGCATGGGGAATCAACCCCTGGAACTTTTGCAGGGGGAACCCAGCGACCCCCGATTTGTGTCCCGAACAAACCAAAACCGCGTAGAAGGGTCCAACTGGTTGAGGTATGTTGAGGTCTTCACCTGTCTGATTTACACTGGATTGCGGGGTCTACCCAAAAACCCACGTGAATCGCAACATCTGCACTCCTCAAAACAGTAGAGCACAGGACCAATAAATTGGTCAGTGACTCACATGTGGTTCATTCTTGTCGGTCCCTACATGATACATGAAGGTTGCCGTTTCTCCACCCTAGCAGGTTCATTAGTCGATTTTACGGTCGACTCAAACTGCGACATTGAAACCCATACCCTCCCTCCCACTATGGCACCTGACACCCCCCCCCCCCACAAAATGCGTGGTGTCTCAAAATAGGGCACCCCTCATATGGTGCTTTGGTTTCTACTTAATGCAACCTGAAAATAGCACCCTCCAAAAGAAAAACAAACCCAAATGGATCTTCCAAATCTCCCCCGTTGCCGACACGAGTCGGAGGCTACGGTGGATGCCCTGAATGTTGCGGTTTTGTTGTTGCGCATGGTCGGTTTACTTGCAATATGGGTGTGTCTTGTTTCGGGCGTGCTCCAGTTTGGTTGGTTTTGAACGGAAGCCAAAAGGACGCCCACCATGAAGAGTCCCCTAAAAACAAGGCACGCCCATACTGTGGATGGTTGCGAAATCCTGCACCACCCAAGAAACCCTGGAATGAGAATTGCCCCATAAATACCAACAAACAATGGTTTCAACCATGGTTTCTGAGGTGGTGCGTTGGATGGATTTCGCCACCATCCACGGTATGGACGTCCGCCCTCGTATCCCGCATCATACGTCTCAGCCGCCGACCCGCCAGAGAAGTGCTGCAGCATTCTCACGGTCCTGAACCAAACGCTTCCACTGGCCCCGAAGCCTTTTGTCTTCACAGGAGTCCCTTGGACCCATGCTGTGGTCGCGAAATCCATTCGCACCACTTTGCAACTATGGGAAGCCACGGTCTGCTGGATTTTGCAAATCATCATTCTCCAGGCTTTCTTAGGTGGTGCGTTGGATGGAGTTCGCAACCATCCACAGTACCTTGGCATTGGTCTGAGGTGAGGACCCCCAAAGATGGGGGCTGTTCTTTTTGCCTGGCTGCCATTTGACAGAGGTAAAAAGGACACACTCAAAGAGCACAACTCGGACTAGTCAGGGGTGGTTCCCCATTTCAAAAGATTCCTTTGACGAAACAAAAGGGCTTCTTGATATCCACAGCGATGTCAAGAGGACTGTCCCCTACCTCGACTTGGCAGGTGTTGATTGGGAATCAGTGGCAGAAATCGTACAACACCTTGTGAGGCCAGACTATTGGTCATTCCTTGGGTGCCAATCTTGGTCCGCGCCTTGAAAGCAGAACAGAGGTGTGGCCGCCTCTCCATTTGAGGCGCAATCAGAGCCTGGTACTAAAAGGCGACAAAAAAGTACCGGGGCGGAGATCCGGACCTAAAACACTTTCGCCACTGGGACGACTCATGGCAGCAGCCGGAGAACCTCCCTGAAAGCTCCAGGAACCGGGGAGCCCCAAAAAGCCCGTGCGGCCCCCCAGACCGAATGGACGAAATGCAGGCCCATCGCACCAGCGATGGACACCCGATTTGAATGGGACAAACCACCTAGGTGCGACAGGGAGTTCGTTCAAACGAGAACCCAGTGCAGAAAAACACCGCCTAGCATCAAGCAGCCCGCGAGAAACCAAAGCCTCGGCCCAAGCGATGGACGAAGCCTTTGGCAAGTCAAGCGCCTGGACTCCTGAAACCCGTGGGTGTGACCCCGGGCAAGATCTCGTTTGGTCCAGGGAGCATCCGCTCTTTTTCTTACCCCTTAAAACTCCAAGCCCTGGGGAAGTTAATCTGTTACAGACATATAGCCCAGGTTACCCCCAAAAAGTTGAGAGAAAAGTTTCGTCTTTTCAAGAGGTAAGTTCTGGGTGGGGGAGGGGCCACCCTCTCGCCCTCTTTCCCTTGACTCCAAGTGCCCGAGTGCCCGGCGAGCCCCGTGGAAGGCCCAGCACGTCCACCACTTTGGCGCGGACCTCGGCGCGAAATTCTCTCGGCCGGAGTTCGGCCGGAGTTCGGTGATCGGCCACCGCGTTGGCCCCGGTCGAAGCTTTTTTGCGACCAAGCGGTTTGGTAAATTCGTGGGCGGGGGGGGGGGAAAAATAGTAAAAGGAGAATTCAAAGAATTATTCTTTCTACTATTTTTTCCAACAGCAACACAACAAACAGAAAACAAAATCCAGAACAACAAGCAAACAAAATAAATAATCACAACCAGCAACAAAATTATTTAATCACAGCATACAACATTAAATAATTCAAACAAGCATACCAACAAAACAGCAACACTCTAAATCATCAAAGACACTCAACTCAAAAACACACATCAACAAAAATCAAAGCAACATACCAACAAAAAATATCATAAGAGTATCAAACAAAACAAAAACAAGCAGCCAAAGCACGAAAAAATCAAAGAAGCATGCCAAGTCTAAACAACGCACTTTGAAAGAGATAAGCAAATTAGGAAAATATAATATTCAATCTTTACAAACGATAAATATATTACAATTATAACATATAATAGTTTACATGTGATAATCATAGTATGAGTTCAACTTTATTCTAATTAATTTTAAAATTCCCTTTCAATTCGTTTCACTATTTTATCAACTGTTTTTCATTATACATATTATTTCCTATTTCTTTTATAAACACCTTCATTACACTAATTGCATGTCTTGCTGTGTATCTAAGTTCGTGAGCTTCATACTTACAATTTAAAAACTCATTTACAAAATCAAAGTCATTATCATTCAATGCTTCGTATTTTAAACGTTTAATGCTAAAAGACATATTGTATAATCTTTTTACCAGGCTATAATACTTATAAATAAAACCATTCACATATCCATTATCTAATAAATTATCAAATTCTATTTCAGTCAAGAACTTATTCATTTCAATAAAAACAAATATGTCTAAATCATCATCAAGAGTTTCAGCATTTCTAGTATCAAAATCTCTGTTGTTCATATCATCAATTTTGTTTATAATTCTATTACAATTATCACATATCATACATTGACAAATATTATTACTAACACCATCTATAAAACCCTGTTGAATTGTTAACTTTAGCATCCCACAGTCTTTACATTTGTAATTCATAAACTTTTGTTTCAATATATTTTTAACATCAATATCTTCATGGACAGTATCACTAAATTCACTATACACACTTTCTACATCACTATATTCACCATATTCACTTTCTGTATCACTCATTTGTATCTTAATATATTAAGTCTTTATTCCTTTAAGTCATGTTCAAAGATTTAATCATAAATATTTAAGTTGTGAAAAACCTCTCCTCCTTCGTTTCATCAGTTTCATCATATATTTTAATAGGCGTGGTGTCCCTTGTATGATTTTTTCTTCAATATATAAAACGCTATACTGACATTATAATTATAACATATAAGGGTATAAATGTTATTATTATAGTATGGTTTTAGTCAAAATAATGCCCCGATTTTATCAAAATCATTCCCCGATTTTATCAAAATCATTCCCCGATTTTATCAAAAATCATTCCCCGATTTTATCAAAATCATTCCCCGATTTCATCAAAATCATTCCCCGATTTTATCAAAATCATTCCCCGATTTTATCAAAATAGGTGGTGGTTTGGTTCATTGCAATTGCATGTGCTCAAGTTGCAAGCCCAACCCCAAACCTAAATCCTTAATCCGTCAAACTCACTAAGATTTCACAAATTAATTCGCTAGGTATTTTATATAAATCTTCCTGCTTATGTATTGTTGGATTGTCACCCCATTTTTCCTTAGTGCCTGATGGTAGCCGTTGTGCAGTTTCAATATGTTTATTATTTCTGATGTTGCCACAATCCTTTTTACATAATTCTCTAGGTTTCCATATTTACAATAATCTACATCTTTAAAATCAAACTCATCCATAAACTCTTGATGTTTTAATAATCCAGTTTGTGGATTTTCGATTACAAAATATTTAGGATTAAAATATTTGATAATCTCAATAGTTTTTAAGACAATACTATTTGCATATTCGATATTCCTAATTCCCCTAGTTTTTGCTACACTATATTCAGTGCACGGAGGACTACTCCAAATAAAATCAAAATGGTTTCTGTCAAACTGTTTATAATCCCATTTCAAAATATCGATATTTATATCAGCGTTTTTCAAGTCTAATGATATCACATTAAAACCTAAATCACGAGCAACTTTACCAACAGAACCACTGCCTGAAAATAATTCTAATAAATTCATTTATTAGAATTATTTAGATATTAATTATTCTAATACATATACTCCATCATCATTTTTTGAAATTTTATAATAGTCTAATGTTTGTTGCTTTGGTTGCTTGATTTTTCCTGTATTCAACATATCACAATATTTCTTTTGCTTTGTAGGATAATCACCCGTTGGTCTTCCTATAGATTTTGCTTGAAATATCTTTTCGATTTTTTCCTTCTCCTGCTGTTCGCTTTCAACTGGTTTCATTTTGTCATCAATGGATTTAATCATATCATTTAAGGTTTTAATATGTTTACCAATTAATGTTATCTTCTTCATTAAATCATTAATAGTATAATTCTCATTTTCAGACATTACTATATATTTATTTAGATAATTATTTATTTAATTATATATTTATAAAGTGCAATTATGTTAAGTCTACTCTTTAAATACTAATTTTTCATCATTTGTTTAACAGTTTCCTGTGTTTCGTTTTCATTATTATCGGATGGTGTTGCTTGCCTACCAAATTTAAAAGTTATACTATGGACATCAGTTTCTAAGTTGATACTGTCTTTAGTTTTATCAATATTCATTTTCTTATCATTTTTACTTATTTTGAAACTTGTTGGAATACATGAACATTTACATGTTATATTGTTTTTTATTTCTAATTCATTTTTAAGTTCTAACATCTTTTTGCACATAGGACAAGCAATCTCAAATACTGATGGTTCTTTAACAATTTCTCCGCTATCTTCTGTTGAAGAAACACTTAAACCTGTCTTATTCTTTTTGTTTTTCCTTTTTGGAATTTATATTAATATTTATATTTTTAATATATTGTATCAAAAACTTAATTAATTCTAAAATAGAATAACATATTGTTTTACATCTATTATCAGTTATTAGTACTTGTTCTATATTCTCCATTTCATCTATTATATTAATATAATCTATATAACTCCTTTTCATATTAAATAATAAGATAAATTATTTTTTCATTTCTGTCTTTCTTTTCTTGTAAAGTTTTTTCATTGTATCGTCTTTATTCCATCTATATTCCACAAATTTCTGATGATGTTTTGAATTTAGATGTTTAAATAAATATTTGTCATCATAAGTTTTACCACAACTGCAATGGATAATAGTCATATAAATAATAAGATACAATATTTATTTAATCTTATTATTTTCATGCATGATAGAATATTCGGAGGGCACAGCACTGGGGTTTTCTTTACAATGCATCAAACTAATTAGCTTCAATGCTCATTGATTGAAGCAATGGACATCCCGTTCCATTTAATATTAAATAGAATATGTATTTAAACTATTTTCTTTAGTAAGTTTTATTGCAGTTGATAGACTAACATCTTTAATATTAATATCAATAACTTCTTCTACACTATTTATCATTTCATTTGTATACATATCGGGATAATCTTTCATAAAATTTACTAACTTTCTAAAATTAAAATCTAGGTTATTGTCATTTTCAATTGAGGACTTGGATACTACGATATTTTGTTTCTTAATTGCCGATAAAAAGTATAACATCGTATCATAATATATTTGTTCAGTGTCGGGCACTAAGATATCACCAAATTTATATATCCTCCGAATACTAGCCACTTCACTTAAATTAATAGATTCTATTGCCATTATGATATAATTATATTATATATTTTTTTATAAGTATTTATAATATTATTTTTATTATGCCTGATGTAAAACCAATTGATGAAATCAAATATGACTTTAAGCAAAGCAAGCACGAGGTCGTCCCTAAATTGCCGATGAGAGCGATGATTGTGGGCCCGTCAGGCTCTGGAAAATCGACGCTACTTGTATCAATGATACTTGATATTTATAGAGGCGCATTTGAAAGAATTTTTATCTGGTCTCCATCAGTAAATTTGGATAGTATTTGGTTGCCTGTTAAAAAATACATTAAAGAAGGTTTGAAAGTAGATAATGATAAAGAACCGTGTTGGTGGGATGAGTTCAATGTTGAAGATTTAGAAAGAGTTATAGAAACTCAAAATAAAATAATTGAATACCAGAAAAAACAAGGAACGAAGAAATTATTTAATATTTTGGTAATTTTGGATGATGTATCTGATAATCCAGCAATAACAAGAAATAACAAATTGTTAAATTCTTTATTTTGTAGAGGTCGTCATAGTGGAATATCAACACTTGTAAGTCTTCAAAAATCATCAACCGTACCACCAATTATTAGGGTAAATATAAGTCATTTGTTTTATTATAAAGTTAGAAATTTTAAAGAGATAGAAATATTGCAAGATGAATTATCAGCAATTGTTAGAAGCGATAATTTACATGAAAGCAAGAAACTAATTTATAAAATATATGAGACTGCCACTGATGAACCGCATAGTTTTTTATATATTAACCTTTTAGAAAAGAACCCAGATAAAATGTTTATGAAAAAGTTTTCTCAATATTTGAAAATTACTAATTAAATAATTAAATAATTAAATAATTAAATATATATTAATATTATATGATATTTTATGATTTACCAATAGAAATTAAAAACCTTGTATTATCTTATAATTTAGGTGATGTTAGATTATTAAAAATAAAAAATAGTAATATTGTTAAAAATATATATTAATAAATATAAACCAGTTTACAAGTCTTACAAATTAAATAACATACATTATTTTGAAATTGATAATATTAATATTAATAATGGAATATCATATATTTTTAATTTAAGT